CTAGAAGTGTCCGGGTCGTCCTCCTCGCATTCGCTGGGGGCTGGAAAGGGTTTAGGGTTTTGGTGCTTAGGGGTTTAGGGTTTAGGGCTTTGGGGTTTAGGGCTTTGGGGTTTAGGGCTTTGGGCTTTGGGGTTTAGGGTTTAGGGTTTGGGGTTGAGGGTTTAGGGCTTTGGGTTTAGGGCTTTGGGGTTTAGGGTTTAGGGTCTGGCTGTAGGGTCAGGGTTTGCGGTTTAGGGTTTAGGAGGCGGGAATGTCTAGGGGGAACCCTGGAGCCTAGTGAGCCTTGGAGGGAGGAGCCCGGAGTCTTGCGGATCACTACCCTCCCCCAAATTAACATGGAGCCCCAAGGAGCCTGTGTAGGGCTTCTTCTGCGGGCTCCATGTAAGTTTGGGTGAAAGTAGGGTGCCCTTCCTTGTTCAGGTCAAAAGTGGGAAGTACGGGCCTCTAATATGGGCCGTCAGCGTATTTCAGGGTGATTGACCAGAGCCCAGACTGCTAGATTCACAGGTGCCCAGACATGAGTGGCTTGCTGTTGAAGGTCTCAAGTTTCCATCATACGTACATATAGTAAATGACCTTGTTTTGATTCAATCATTGGGGATAACGTCCCTAAACACTACATAATTCTATACAACCCCATATACTCCCTATGTAACCCATTGTAACCCCATATGGGTTGTTGTCACAATAATGGTCCCTTTTTGGGGCACCTAATATTTAGGATACCCAAAAAGGGACCATAATTTTGACAACCACCCATATAAGGCCAAACTCAAACCCCTACGCGCTACCTGCACGCTACTGCAATCACCGCCAGCGCGTGGATCGCCCCAGGAGACGACAGAGCCATCAGCCTCAGCTTCTGGAAGCGGTTTAGGGTTTTGGGTTTAGGGTTTAGGGTTTTGGGTTTTGGGTTTAGGGGTTTAGGGTTTTTTCATACCCTCCCAGAGGCTAGCCTGGAAACCCAAAAAAGAGCCTTCAAAGACTGCAGTTCGTTCAAAAGGGGCTATATAGGTTTCCGTGTTAGTTGGGGGGAGTGCAACGGGTTTCGAAAAACAGAACCCATGGGCCTCCCAAGGGGTATGTAGGAATTATCAGCGGATTCTGAGGAACCCTATCAAGGATTCCATAGAAGCAATTTCGAAAAAATCCGGTTGAGACCATCAAAAGCCTGGGTTTTGGGGGTGGCAGTATTGTTCAATGTAGCTTTAAATCAAGCTTGGAAACGCCCTTCATTGGTTTGGAACCGGCTATAACTTTTGCAGTCCTACGCAGGCCCAAGACTACGTTAGATATCCATGAACTTGCAAGTACAAAGCTCCAGCCCAAAAAGATAAACAACAACAACAACAACAACAACAACAGCAGCAGCAGCAGCAGCAGCAGCAGCAGCAACAGCAACAGCAACAGCAACAACAACAACAGCATCACAGTTTAGGGTTCACTCATGTCCCTTTTTATGCTGAAACTCCGAAACGAATTTAAATTTAGGCGGCTTCCAAGTCGCTCGCAGAGCCGCAAAGGCTCCGGCTGTGGATTGGATGCACTTCACTTGTAGAAGTTGCTGCTGTAAATCCTGGTTTGGCCGTCAACTTTTCTGAGAATCATACATGCGTTGAATGAGCTACAGTTCTCCCTATGTGAAACACTTTTTTGGTGAGGTTGGCTGAGGTCATTCTAGTTTGCCCACTTGAAGAAGCTTGTAAGCAAGCATACGCGTAGCCTAAGTTGGGTTGTAGCTGGTTTTACGGTACCACCCGGTAAACACCGCGTGGGCTGAACTGAAGGCCTGCCAAGTCCAAAGGGGCCTGCATCCCATAGCCATGAAGCCCTTACAGGCGCCAAGAATCTGGGTTGCTGTTAAGGAACTTAATTTCAGTTACTATATTATCCCCCTATAATGGAGAATCAAATGGAAAAGAAAATGGAAAATGAAATGGAAACTGGGGGAATATATGGATTGAGGAACTTAAATTAAGTAA